AAGAAGACAGTTTGACGGTCGGTTCGGTCGAATCCGAAAATCTAAGTATGGGTGAAATTTTTGTGTAAAATATTGAATTGAACTCATGCTCATACATATATATATATACACATACATATACACATACATCTATGACAGTGTATGAAAAAAAATGAAGAAAAATGGAGAGAGAAAGAGAAAGACTCGCCATCGTAGTTGTAACCATCGCCATCGCAGATTGTTGCCATCATTAGCTACCTCGTCTTCATGACAACCATTACCATCAAAAGAAAGAGAAGCACAGATGAGGGAGAGATGAGTTTGTCTCTCAAAGAAAGAGATGAAAAATGAGAGAAAGAGAAAGGCCAAAAACGAGAGTGAAGAGGAAGAAGAAGAGATTTTTCAACTTTTGGTCTACCTAGGAATTATGAGAGAGAGAAAAGCAAAATGAGAAATAAATCTGTAAAGACAAGAGAGAGAGAGAGAGTCATCATTATTAATGCTTTGGAAAGTGAAAGGATAGTCTCTCTTTGACAGACTAGAGTCTAGACTACTATGCATACTTCCAATATATAAATACTATTATAAACTCATTGTTTCAGTCGGGCTGGGTTCATCGGATTTATATGGGGAAAATCCGTTGCCGACCGTAAATCTGTAAAATTCAGTGCAAAAAAACAGTAACCGACAGTTCTTCTCTTCGAAATCGTCTATGGCAGCCTGGGTCGATCCATATCGAACAGTTTGAACGGGTATTCGGTTCATATGAACAACCCTACTATAAAGAAAAAGAACAGAGATGAGAGTATTCAAATTAATTAAACTAAAAACTAAACATGATATGCATATAGATACATTATATATATATATATATATCATACATACATATATATACGGAAAACTAAAAAAACAAAAACATGGAAGAGAGACAGAGAAATCAAGCACATGGAGAAAATGAAAGCTACTGCAAAAGGTATATATTAGGGCTGCTCGCGGGTCGGTTTTGGCCGGGTGCGGGTCAAAACCGACCCGACCCGCACTTATGCGGTTGGGGAAAAATGGACCCGCAACCGCCCGCGATGCGGTTCGCGGTTTGTGCGGGCGGGTGCGGTTCGGTTTGCGGTTTAGTTTTTTTTTTTTTTTTTTATATTAAGCAAATTTGACATTTTTTGTTACTTTCTAAACACTTTTTTTTTTTTAGAAGAGTTATAAATTAAATTACAAGATATACAATTCATTATCATAATAAATAGTCCACATGTTAGATAAGATGATATGGAACCATGTTTGAGGATAGTAATTAATCTTCCTCTTTAGCTTGCAAAACAAACCCTTAAAAGTCAAACTAGTAACACTAATTTAAATATGCAAAAACAAACCCTTAAAAGTCAAACTAGTAACACTAATTTTACTAGTAGATTAATCTTCACTGTTTAGTTTTTAATATGCAACAATGTGATAATAAAATGACAATTCAAAATATCATATTTAACTGTGTCTACTAGACTAATGGAATATAATGATTTTTTTTATATATATATAAATAAAAGTCAAACTAGTAACACTAATTTAAATATCATTAGATCATGATAATGTATATAAGTGCCCATATAATAAATTTTACTTTCATCCAAAATGTAAAAATAAAAATAATAACTAGTTATCTCCATCCATCCAAAATGCAAAAAATAATAATAATAACTAGTTATTTTTTCTTTTAAAAAAAAAAAAAAAAAGATGCGGGTTGCGGGCGGGTCGGGTTCGACCCGAACCCGATCTTTTGCGAATTTCTTGACCCGCACCCGCCTGCCTACCTACATCGAAACCGCCCAAAGCACTGCGGGTAGGGTAGGGTCGGGCGGTTTGTGCGGGCGGGTGGGTTTGTTGCCCAGCCCTAGTATATATATATTTTCTATGAAAGCTGCTACTAAAGGTATACATATATATTCTTCAAATGGACTCCTAATTTTCTTGGTATTTCATGGAATTGAGCTTTGATTCGCTGGATCTGAGCTTTGACTCTTAATTTTCATGGTATTTCTATGAATGGACACAAAAACCCATTATCATCTCATGCGTGTGGGTCAGATCTGAGCTGATCTAAACTTTCTCTGTTTTAGATCGAGAAAAAAATATACAAATCCACGGCAACGAAAGGAAGTTTGTGTAGCTTGCAGAGGCGTGAGATCAGGGAGCTTTCGTATCTAAGAGAGAGAGAGAGGGAGAGTTTGAGGAAGAATGGCTTGGTTAGGGTTTGATTTGGAAGATCTGAGGAGAGGAGATGAGAAAAAAAAGAGAGAGAGATGAATACTGGTGAGAGGAATGAAGAGAGAACAGAGAGATAGATAGAGAGAGAGCTTGCTGTCATAGAGAGACTTAGGAGATGACTCAGCAGGAGGGTATATAGATAGATAGATAGATATTGGAATGCACATGGATTGTTCTAGATAGATAGATAGGTGAGCCGTTGGATTATATAATCTAACGGTGCTATTTTGTTATTAGAATGAACATGGGTTTGAGCAACGGCTTTTTTTCTTCCTTTTTCAAACAACAGCTATAAATTAACGGTCATTTTCTACAAACGGTCATATTTTGTATTTCTATAAATAGAAACCCTTAATCTCAATTTCATTTCACACCAAATGAGAGGGTAATTTTTGGTGAAAATTGGGCCAAGCTATGATATGGACTTTATGGCCCAAAGTATGACGGACTGGGTAAAAAGGGCCGAGAGGTTACTCCGGCCCGAGAGAGATAAATTACTTCGGTCAAAAGAGGTGAAGTTACTTCGGCTCAGGAATTGTAAAGTTACTTCGGTTTGGACAACTTGGAGTTAGTCCGGTCTTTGAGTTAGTCCGGTCATGGCGTATTCTGGATAGATCGGTCAAGACCTTGCTACTCGGTAGCTCGGTCCCAACGTATCATGGTTCATACATGGGAGAACCGAGATAAGGAGTGAAAGGAAGGGCCGAACTAAGGATAGTTCGGCCTACCTTGTGGCTCAGCTTAGCCAGTTTACTTCGGTTAAATGGTAGTTCGGCCGTAGTAAAAACCATCCCACTTGGTTTAAGCAGTGGGGGGGTGTAAAAGGATAAGCATTATCCTTTAGGAGTGTGAATCCTAGGAGGACTCTGCATGGAGAAATAAAAGTCCTACTAGGATTGTGCCACTCGAAACCTATAAAAGCTCACAAGCATCACCTTGGAGGAGGTAACATAACACAATATACCATTTTTGCTTCCTCAATACATTGAGCTTTGTCTATTTGTCAAGTTTTCTGACTTAGGCATCGGAGAGGTTTCCGGCACACACCCGCCGGCTAGCTCACGTTTGTGTTTTCAGGTGACAAAGCGACGTCGTATGGAGGAGCGTGGACTTAGTCAACAGGATTATACGAGGAGAATTATTTCTTTCCCGTACACCAAACATTTCAAATTTCATTTTTCTTTTTTTTTTTCTCTTCTCTTTATCTAAATTTCATTTCACACCAAACTTTACAAATTATTTTCTTCTTAGCTTTTTCACACAATCACTATGGAAGATTCATCAAAAATAAAGAGAGGAAAATCATTTACCACTCAAGAAGATGTGGCAATTTGTAGAGTTTGGTGTCACATTACTGAAGATCCAATTGTTGGGAATTCACAATCTCATGCTCATTTTTGGGAAAGAATTTTTGAAAATTATTGTTCATTGCAGAATGATCACTCAAGAACACAAGTGTCTATCTCATTTCGATGGGATGTAATCATGAAATATTACAACAAATTTCATGGATATTTAGCGCAAGTCAAAAATTTACACCCAAGTGGGATGTCTCAAGTTGATATAGTAAGATTTCATCTTCATTTATTATATTAGTTTTTTTTTTTTTTTTGTCTTTTATAAAATTTAACTAATTAATTAATTTAATATTTTATTGATACAGATGCTTCAAGCAAAACTGTTATACCATCAAGATGAAAATAAACATTTCATTTTTGAACATTGTTGGCCAATCTTACAAAACAATATCAAGTGGCAAGATTTAGCTCCAACGAACACGGTGAAGTCAAGGATACATACACCGTTTTTCCCTGATTCAGCCCCGATTCCCCTATGGATAACTACATTTCTCTTGAAGATGACACCAGTCCAAGTGTTGGTAACAATCCAACTGTTGGTGAGGGCAGTGTCTCTGCAAGGGGTAAAAGGCCTATGGGTAGGAAAGCTTCAAAAGAATTATTTCAGAGGAATTAAGTGGTTGAAGCTAAAGTCCAAAAAATGAGCATACAATTAGAGACATTTAACCAGTACCTTGCTAAGAAGGAAAAGAAAAAAGATGAAAGAGAAGAAAAAAGGATTCAAGCACTGCAGGAATTGAAAGAATTTGAGATCAGAAAACAAGAACATGAGATAATGAGTACGGACATTTCTCTTTTGGACCCTCAGACGAAAACGTATTACACAATGCGAAAAAAATGAGATTTCGCCAAGTGGTCCTCAAATGTCAACAACCCAAATTACTATTTTCCCATGCCTTCTGATGAATAATTACGGGATAATGTATTTTTAAATTTTGCAATGTCATTTAATTTTTGATGTAATTGTAGTATTTATTTGCAATGTAATTTTTATTTTGTAATGAAATTTCATGTTTTTTTATTTTTATTTTTGAGCATTTTCTACAAAATAATGTAATATTATTTTTGCAGTGTATAATGTTGACTAATTTTTATTATAATTTAAATTTTTCAATAAAGTATAATGCAAACAAATAAATACATTTTTTCAAATGAAGGCAATAAAAAGATAAAATATATTAACTGACATTAAATGACATTAACTATCATTAAAAAGATAAAATACAAACTTAATCTAGCTCTCCAGCTCGAGACCACAAGTGTTCAATTAGATCATTACGAATTGCATTATGAGTTTTAGTAGATCTAATCCTCTGCCGATTCAACATAAATTGAGCATACTGCTTATTTGGATCGCGTGACACGATAACGGGTATTATTGGTATCAGTCTCAAGTTATGCTGCACTGCGTTCATTTTCTAGAATATCACGCTCGTCTTCAATGATCATATTGTGCAAAATAATGCACGTCTTCACGATGTAATACAGATCCTCATCACTCCAACCTTTAACTAGAACTCTGATAATATTAAATCGTGCTTGGAGCACTCTAAATGCCCTTTCGACATCCTTCCGACATGCCTCATGCATCCTCGCAAATACTTGTCTCTTTGCGTCTTGAGGTTGAGATATTGTTTTCACAATCGTTGCCCAACGAGGACAGATACCATCTGCAAGATAATACCCCATGGTGTACGCATGATTATTGATGGTGTAGTTGGCTGTAGGGGCACGTCCTCTAGTTAATTCAGCAAATAAAGACGACCTATCAAGAACAGTAATATCATTTAGAGAGCTAGGCATGCCAAATCCACAAGTCATAGGAGGCAACTACCTCGAGTACAACTGTTGGTTTGTGGTAGTGTCCAGTGTAAGCACCGGCTTAGGTAGTTGGACATTTATCCCAATGCCAGTGCATACAATCCAAACTCCCTAACATTCTAGGAAACCTGCGTTGCTCTCCCTCTTGCAATAATCTGGCGACATCTACTTCATTTGGGGATCTTAAGTAAACGGCATCATAGGTAGCAACAATTGATCTGGTAAAAAAATTCAAGGCGGCAATTGCTGTACTTTCGCCGATTCTAATGTACTTGTCTACAGAATCAGCAGGCACGCCGTACTGTAGAATCCAAAGTGCTACAATCATCTTTTGTACACTGGATAATCCAAGAGCACCAGTGGCATCACAAGTTTGGATCAAGTACTCATTCACTTGTTGAATATCATGTAAGATACTAACAAATAATGACCGCCTCATTTAAAAACATCTTTGGAAGTATTCTTCTAGATATACAGGATTATCTGCAAAATAATCTCTATAAATTTGTTTGTCACCTTTGACCCTCTCACGATTAATGTATCGACGACCACTTGTGGAACCAACATGTCTGGTTGGTTGGTTTAGGTTTAACGTCTTTATCCTTTGCTGTTGCGCTATGAACAGTTGCATAATGATGATATCATCATTAGATGATAAAGATTTATCAAAATCTCCATTGAATATGGTTTTAGTCAAATTGTTCATTGTAGGTGGATGGGTGAGTGGGTGAATATGAAAATTGTAGAAAATATACTAGATGGGTACAGAGAGTTTAGAAAATATGAAAATGATAGGTAGGTGAATATGAAAATTATAGAAAATCTTGTGTTATATTTATAGAGAAAATTGTGGGTGGGTGAATGATGGATGGTTGTTGGTTGGGTGGATGAATAATGGATGGTTATTGGGTGGGTAGTTATTGGTGAATGAATGATGGGTTAATAATAGATGGTTGTCGGTGGTTGGTTGTTGGTGAATGAATGATGGATGAATGATCTGCAGAGACCCTAATTTTTGTAATCACCATTAAATCCCTAATCTTGAGTTTAAAAAAGAGGGAGAGGGAGAGAGAGAAGAGAAGAAAAACAAGAAGAATTATGTTGAGTCTTGTACAACAAAGGTGCACATACATCACCTCTTCTCTCAAGTTCTTTTACCACTTGTTTTTTCCCTCCTAATACATGCTCTTTGTATATATATGTCATAGTCTAGGCTTACACTCTTTTATAAATGTGTATTAATCAAGAAATGGTATACTTCTCTTTCTTTCTTAAATTTCTAGCAGCAAATTTTTTCCCTCTCTTGAGTTTATTTTCCTATCAAAACTCCATAAACTCAAAATATGTTTTTATGGTGTAATATTTGGTATGTCTAGAGTATGTGATAATTTTGGTAGGACCTAAGGATGTATTTTTATAACCTAAACAATTTTTCTAAGTTTGTTACTCACAGAACCAGAAAAACAGTCAACTATCTCTATTTTTATAAAATTCCAGAAACATAATCTTGAGTCCAATTTTATGTCAAAATCTTAATCTTGGTGTTATATTTTAACTAAATTTTTTTTGAACTCAAGAGAGTGAGGGATTCGAGAGAAAAACCGATTTGCGTAACTGTCAACGAATCTGGATAGATCTTGGTAATTCTGAATTATCTTAAAATCTAAAATATCTATCCTACTTTCGTAAATTGAGTTTGAAACTAGACTTGTTTATCTGCAAACTCACATGAGGCCAGGTACTTAGGGCCAATAAAAGTATTTTTTTTCATAATTATTTTCAAACTGGTTCAAATCTGGAAATCTGGAAATTTGTGTTAATATGCTCTTATTTGGTTTGCAACTCTTATATTCTATGTTTCTTGAATGTTTTAGTCTCGATATGTTAGCTATGATAAATTGTGGATTTGCTTTACCATGAATAAATTACTTGTTGTTTAGTTTGGATTCGTAATTATACTGACCATGCTTTGCTATAACTGGGAACATAATGCACTTAATAAAGGGGAAATCAAAAGGGCTGGTAATGGGTTGCAATCATTGTATTAAATTTTATGAGATAATGAACGATGTATTCAAGAGTATGATATAGTGGAATGTGTTTCATTTTTGTGAAGTCTTGCGCAAGTATGTTATCGAACCCCAACATGGCGCGGGAGATATTCTGGCTACTTAACGGAAATGGAAGACATAAGGGTGGCAGTGAGGGTCTCACACAGGGAGAGTATCCCTGGAAGCCCGTTCCCTTAGGGCAGACCGTGATGTCACAATTCGGGTTTGTAACGTAGGTGCGTAGGCATCATTGGTAATTGTGCGGTAAGCGACGCACTGGTGGTTATGTAGTAAGCAACACATTGGTATGCAGTGGCGGAACCAGGATTTTGTCTCAGAAGGGGCACCTTTGAATTAAAATCTTAACAAAAATCATAATTTAACATAATTTTTATTTGATGGTAGGACTAAAAATTAATGCGATGCAAAAATTATATTTAAATACAAGATCAAGTTAACTAATCACTATCTTTATTGTTATTAATTTATTTTATATATGATGATCATCACGGTTTAAAAAGTAATTACATATAGCCTCATAAAATATGAAAACAAAATTATATTAAGATGCACACACATAAAGAGATACAGTGAGGATAGAGAAAGAAATGAGAAAAAGATGAATAAATAATATACAGAGGCTATTATATATTACTTGTTTTTTTCACTGTTTTGAATAATTGAATTACATGACAATATATTATTAGTTGTCATTAATTGTGTAATAATTATGTGTCATATAAGAGGTGATATAAAATAGTGACAAAATATCAGTGATATATAACATTTTTCTACTATAAAATTTATAAGAATTTTTTTTAGCATAATTAAACATTTAAAGTGATAAATTAAACATTTTTTTTATTAAAAAAAAGTAAAGAAAATAGTGATATAAAAATTTCAAGGTATTACTTAGATTAAATTGAAATATATATTTTTATTAGGGGTAAAAAAATAATTTTTCAAACGTTGAGGGGGGGGCACGTGACCACTCTGGGCCTCACATGCCTCCGCCCCTATTGGTATGGTATTAACCAAGGGGGAGTCAGAATTGCCCGTGGCCAGTGTTAGTGGTTGGGTAAGAACGACATACCGCGAAAAGTTGCCTAGAACTAACTAAAATTGACTATTATTCATGAAAACTGAAATTTAATTATAAGCTCTGCTTAATTATTGATTTCGATGTATGTTATGATTGTGGCGTTATATTACTTGTGTATTTGGAATGGGAAAAGAGTCAGGGTGTGTGTGTTTACTGGGCATTCCAAGCTCATGGCGTTTTATACCAAGTGAAGGCGAGTTTTACACCGAGACCAGAATCCCTAAAAGCTTGCGGGACCATGGCTGCCTTATAGATTAGATTTTATATTTCCTGTATTTGAGGTAATCTTTTTGTATCAAAGAATTGATCTGTATTTAAAGACTTGAATATTTTATCTGTAACTATTATTAATTTTTTCTTTTAGTATAATTATTTGTATTTTATACTTAAAAATTATGTGTATCCGCTAGTTAAGCCCCAGTGTATCATTGTATTATATTTTCAAAATTTGGGCGTCACATGATCGATAATTGTTGGTGGATAATTGGTGATTGTTTATTTTTTATGTATAGTTAAATTTTTTTTACTAAATATGTAGTGATTTGTTTTTTGGTGGGGTGAATTATATATATATATATATTTCCAATTTTTCATTTTTTATATTTGTCTAGTTGAAAATAATATAAATATATAATTTTTTTTACAAACAGGTAAAAAAATGTCACAAAAAATAAAAAATATACAAAAATAAAATCACAAAAAAATCTATATCCAAACAACACCTACAAATTTAGAGAGAAAGTTAGTTAAGATTTGTCAAAATAACAAATGACCATTGAAACACTATTGCTATAATTTAACAAAATAACATTATTCATTACTAATTTATAACAATAACCACGATATATTATAGCAACAATAGTTAGAATTGCTCTTAGGCACAATTTTTGTACAAATAATACGTTGACGCTTGTACTTATGAATCCAAACGAAAAGGCCCGCCTTTGAGAGTCTATAAAATAGATTAATGGCCTAAGCATCCTAATTATTATATGATGATATTAACACTTAAAATAATATGCATTATACAAAATGTTTGATCATTTTAATATTATTAATAATTGATTATTTATTTATTAAATAAATTATATTCACACCCCCTGAAATTTACTTTTAATACGACTTTCTCACTGAGGTATTGAAATTACATTCTCCTCCCTAATGTGTATATTTACATAACAAATTGTCCCTTAATAAATAACAATTTTTACTTATGTCATCAATTAATTAATTTAAAATACCAATTTTACCCCTACCTTTCTTCCTCTGTATCATTTCCAGTTACAGAAACCCAGAAAAATAAAAGCAAAAACTAGATGCAGCAACAAAAAAAATAAATAAATAAAAGTTGAACAAAAATTATTCTAGATACATCTCTATAAAGTAATTTCATTAAGTCATTAAATTTTACACAGATTTCAATTAAAGCGTTACACCAATGTATAAATCTACGCCAAAAACAATTTCCAACGCATGATCATGAAACCAAGCCTACCCATTGGATAAGAGGACTATTGATGAGTTTGTTGAAAAAGAAAAAAAGCAATCGGAGAGTCCCATTTCTTACTTACGTTTCTTCTCAACATCTCTCTCAACATCCAGCACACAATCCCTATTGCATAAACCCAACACCTATTGATCACCCCCTCATCTCCAAGATCCAAGGCCGAATCCGAGCACTCTCATGTCTGCGCGAGGATTTAAGGTCGGTATTGAAATTACATTCTCCTCCCTAATGTGTATATTTACATTACAAATTGTCTCTTAATAAATAACAATTTTTACTTATGTCATCAATTAAATAATTTAAAATACCAATTTTACCCCTACCTTTCTTCTCTGTATCATTTCCATTTGCAGAAACCCAAAACAATAAAAGCAAAAACTAGATGCAGCAACCAAAAAAATAAATAAATAAAAGTTGAACAAAAATTATTCTAGATACATCTCTATAAAGTCATTTCATTAAGTCATTGAATTTTACACAGATTTCAATTAAAGCGTTACACCAATGTATAAATCTACGCCAAAAACAATTTCCAACGCATGATCATGAACCCAAGCCTACCCATTGGATAAGAGGACTATTGATGAGTTTGTTGAAAACGAAAAAAAGCAATTGGAGAGTCCCATTTCTTACTTACGTTTCTTCTCTACATCTCTCTCAACATCCAGCACACAATCCCTATTGCATAAACCCAACACCTATTGATCACCCCCTCATCTCCAAGATCCAAGGCCGAATCCGAGCACTCTCATGTCTGCGCGAGGATTTAAGGTCGAAAC